GGCAGGAAAAAGCAGTGGCTTACAGACTTGGGCATGCAGGTAGTGGCTGGCAGACCTCAGGCACACAGGCAGCAGCCAGCAGACCCTGGGCGTGCAGGGTGGCAACAAGCAGGCCCAGTGAGGCATGCAAGGCGGCTGGCTGACCATGGTCACACATTCGCACGCAGATAAACCAGGCCAAAACAGTCAATGAGACAGACTGTGCAACCCAGGGCCCCAGCAATGGAAAGTAAAGCCTAAAAGCACCAATTGAAAAAACTTGCCGGGGATGAAAGTGCCAGGAGAGACTCCCAGATTCACAGGAGAGTTTGCTGGAGAGACCCACAGGGTCCTAGAATGTACACAAGTACACCCACCCAGGAATCAGCACCAGAGGGGCCCAACTTGCTTGTGGGAAGCAGCAGAAGCAACTGAAATCCGAGAGAGCGGAACAAGTGCCATTGCTCTCTTTATGACCCCGTCCCCACATACAGCCTCACAACCCAGCAACTGGGTTGCCCCACCCTGGTGAACACCTAAGGTTCCGCCCCTTACTATGTAACAGGCATGACCAGACCCCCCCAAAAAATGGCTCAAACAGAAGAACAGATCAAAGCCCCAGAGCCAATACTTTTAAGCTACCAAGAGATAGCCAACCTATCAGATGCACAGTTCAAAACACTAGTGATCAGGATGCTCACAGAACTGGTTGATTTTGGTCGCAAATTAAATGAAAAATGAAGGCTACACTAAGTAAAATGAAGAAAAATGCACAGGGAACCAATAGTGATGGAAAGGAAACTGGGACTCAAATCAAAGGAGTGGACCAGAAGGAAGAAAGAAACAACCAAACAAAAGAATGAAGAAACAAGAATTCAAAAAAATGAGGAGAGGCTTAGGAACCTCCAGGACATCTTTAAATGTTCCAACATCCGAATTATAGGGGTACAAGAAGGGGAAGAGGAAGAGCAACAAGTGGAAAAATTATTTGAACAAATAATAAAGGAGAAATTCCCCAATCTGGCAAAGGAAATAAACTAGGAAATCCAGGAAGCTCAGAGAGTCCCAAAGAAGGTGGACCCAAGGAGGAACACACCAAGGCACATCATAATTACATTAGTCAAGATTAAAATGAAGGAGAGGAGACAGCAAGAGTTAAGGGGACAGTCACCTACAAAGGAGTTCCCATCAGACTGTCAGCTGATTTCTTCTTACAGGCAAGAAGGGGCTGGAAAGTATTCCAAGTCATGAAAAGCAGGGACCTACATCCAAGATTGCTCTATCCAGCAAAGCTTTCATTTAGAATGGAAGGGCAGATAAAGTGCTTCTCAGATAAGGTCAAATTCAAGGAGTTCATCATCACCAAGCCCTTATTATATGAAATGTTAAAGGCACTTATCTAAGAAAAAGAAGATAAAAAACATGTACAGTAAAATGATAGCAAACTCACAATTATTAACAACCACACCTAAAACAAAAAGCAAGCTAAAAGGACAGCTAGATCAGGAGCAGAACCATAGAAATGAAGATCACATGGAGGGTTAGCAACAGGGGAGTGGGAGAAGAAGGGGGGAGAAGGTACAGAAAATAAGTAGCATAGACAGTAGGTAGAAGATAGACAGGGGGAGGGCATATGGGGATAGACAGTATGGGAAATGTAGAAGCTAAAGAACTTATGACACATGGACATGAACTAAAGGGGGGATGTGGGTGGGAGGGGGTGTGCAGGGTGGAGGGGAATGAAGGGAGAAAATGGGACAACTATAATAGCATAATCAATAAAATATATTCAAAAAAGACATATAGTGGCCAAATAAAATTTTTTAAAAATCAAGAGCCAGTGACATGTTATCTACAAAAGACTCACTTCACACTTAACAACATACATAGGCTGAAAGTAAAAGCATGAAAAATATATGTCAAATAATAACCAAGAGAAAGTTGGGGTAGCTATATGTAAATTAGACAAAAAAGACATTTTTTTAATCCTCATGGACATTTTTTTCATTGCTTTTAGAGAGGAAAGGAGAAGGAGAGAGGGAGAGAGGAAGACCGGGTAGAGGTAGGGGAGAGTGGGGGAGAGAATGCAAAAGAGAAACATCGATATGATAAAAGAAACATCAATTGGTTGCCTTCTTGTATACAGCCTGACCAGGTATTGAACATGCAACCTGGGTATGTGCCCTGACTGGGAATCAAAACTGTGACTTCTTGGTGATAGGACGGACAATGCTCCAACTGAGCCACGCTAGCCAGGGCATCACACAAAAGAGACTAAATCAAAAACTGTCTCTAGAGACAAAGGTCATTACGTAAAGCTGAAGAGTCAATTCAACAGGAAGATATTATAATACTTATAAGTATATAAGCAGCCAACATTAGAGCCCCTAAAAATACAAGATCCGGGAAAAGTAACACCTGATTGAGTGTGGGTGGTTGGGTAATAATATGGGTGTAATAATTTATAGTTTTAATTTGAACATTTCATCTAAAATGTCACATGGTATGATGAGCAGAATTACATGCTTATGGTTTTGTAATAAAAGATTTTGTAATAAAAAGGGGGTGTTACTTGTGTTGGACTCTGTATAAAGCAAATATAAACAGATCAGAATAGAGAAGAATACAATACTCCAATACCTCACTTTCCATAATGGACAGCATATCTACACAGAAAATCAATAAACACCTGACTTGAACATCACTATAAATCAAATGGACCCAACAGACATACACCAAACTTTTCACACAACAGCAAAACAATATGCATTCTTCTCAAGAGCACATGTAACATTCCCCAGGATAGGTCAAATGTTAGAACTCAAAAATAGTCTTAACAAATTTATGAAGACTAAATTATTCCAAGTATCTTTTCTGACCACAGTAGAATAAAACTAGCAAACAGTAACTAAGAAAGCAGTAACAAAATTCACAAACACACAGAAAGTCAGTAACACTCTTGAATAATAATTATGTCAAAAGGGGGGATGTAAAAAGTATCTTTAGACAAACAGTTCTATATACAAACAAAAAAATAACCAAAAAGGAAATTCAAAAAAAGAAATTATTAAGTTCACAATAGCAATAAAAAGAACATATTTAAAAATAAATTTAACCAATGTAGTAAAAGAACTGTACACAGAATATTAGGAAACACTGATGAAGGAAATTTCAAAAGACAGATAATCCTGTGTTCATGGGCACAGGAATTAATATTGTTAAAATATCCACATTACCCCAAGTGATCTGCAGATCCAATGCAATCCCTATCAAAATCACAATGTCAATCTCTACAGAAATAGAAAAAACAATCCAAAAATGTACATGGAATCACAAAAGACCCTGACAAGCCAAAGCAATCTTGAGCAAGATAAATAAAACTGGAGGCATCATACTTGCTGATTTCAAAATGTATTTCAGAAGTATAGTAATCAAAACAATATGATGCTGGCCTAAAAAAACACACATATTAACCAAAGGAACAGGATGGAGAGCCCAGAAATAAATCTATGGCCAACTGATCTTCAACAAGAGTACCAAGAATACACAACTAGGGAAGAGCAGTCTTCAATAAATGGTGTTGGATAGCTACTTTCAGAAGACTTGAAACTGGACCAGTACCTCACACCATATATAACTTCTTACACTATTACGAAAATCAACTCAAATGGATTCAAGACTAAAACGTAGGACCTGAAACAGTAAAACTACCAGAAGGAAAAAAAATGGGAAAAGAGCTTCTTGACATTAGCCTAAGCAATTATTTTTTTTGTTTTTTTTTGATATAACACTAAAAGCACAAGCAACAAAAGCAAAAACACACAAGTGGGATTGTATAAAACTAAAAAGCTTCTGTACAGCAAAGAAAATAATCAACAGAGTAAAAAGACAACCTACACAATGAGAGAAACATCTGCAAACCATATATCTGATTAAGGGTTAATATCCAAAATATATAGAGAATTCATATATTCGATAGCAAAAAAAAAAAAAAATCCACAGGAAACCTCAACCCAATTCAAAAATGGGATGAGGACCTGAAAAGACATTTCTCAAAAGAAGACACATTGATGGCCAACATATATGAAAATGTGGTAGACATTGTTCATCAACAGGGAAATGTAAATCAAGCCCACAATGAAGTATCACCTCACAGCTATTAGAATGGCTATGATAAAAAAGACAGCTAAGTTGTTCATGAAGATGTGGACAAATGGGAACCCCTGTACTGCCTTAATCAGAGTAAAGGAAGAAAGTTTATCATCTGCTTAAACAAGTCCACGCTACAGTGTGAATTACCTGATTAGGTAGTGACCATCAGAATCCTCCTGTTGTAAAACTATATTTTGCTCTCTGTAGTTAATGTTATCTATATGATGATACTTTGAAATCATGTGAGTACCTACTCCCCCGACAATCTTTATTTTACTTTTTAATCTTATATTAATGTTTCCTGTTTTCCGTAAGGAATGTAAGCTCCACAAGGGTAGAAATTTTTGCCCTTTTTATTCATTGCGGTATCCCCAGTACTTAGGTCAGTGGTTGGCACATAGCAGACCTTCAACAGATATTAAGTGAATAACCATTAGTTGTACACCTCTGTATTCTCTATGAGACTGTGAACAAAGGCAAAATGTGTTTTCTTCATCTTTGGATTTGCAGAAAATAAGCACATTACTAGCAAATAATAGTGACTCAGTCAATGTTATTTTAAGTTTTAATGGTGTGGGTGAATCTGCCATAATATACAGACCTGACTTATTTTCCTCATATATTAAGTATTAAAAACAGTATGTATCTAATTATATTACTATAAAAATAATAAAATTTATTCTAATGTTTCTTTTTAAAATAAAAATCCTTCCATTTGAAATTCAAGACTCTAAGGGACAAAAGTACTAATATATTATCATATACGGTTTTTTATTAGCTTTCCTTTGCTAGCTTACATGTTTAATGATATTTTACTGATACAATGCTAAAATACCAAATTACTTTTTAAACAATACTTATTACTCTACCTGTAACATTTTTAATGTTTCCTTTAATCCTTCTATTTCTTTTTCTTTTATTTCTGTAGCAAGCTGATATTTTCCCTGTAAGTAAAAAACTATATTTCAGTACTTTCCAATGTAAATGATATTATTAAGGGGAAACATAAGAGCTGAAGAACCAAAATCTCTACTTTAAATTAATATTTCACAGGCTTTACACTTGTATTTGCACTACAACTTTAATTTCTAATGAATTCAAAATACTATAAAATTACAGTAAGTCCTTTAAGACTGTATATATATATCATAAAACTGGAAACCTTATGGTAACAATAAGTCACTTTATCAGTAGAGCATTCCTAAGAACTTATGAATGCTATATAATTACCATATTTTGCAATGTATATTGAGTACTTTTTTGTCCAAAGTTCTAAGGGAAAAATAAGGGTGCACATTATACATGGGTAGTACCTGAAATACCTTGTATGTGTTCTTGTGTTTTGTAATTATTTGTTACATAAAATTCCTTGTACCATAATATGTTCAAAAATAAATGCTAAAATTCTTTTATGATACAAAAAAACAAGTGTCTAAATATAAATAAATAAATAATTGGATTTAAAGGATTTTTTTCCCTGGAAGTTTGGGCCAAAAACATGGGTGCACATTATACATGTTAAAATATAGTAAGTATTTAATTCATATAACTAGAATAAATATATGCTAATTAATAACATACAGGTGTAAATATATATTCTTATATATATATCTCCTTAAACATATTAGGATATGGGAGAATTTTTAAAAGGTCTTTTGCTAAAAATAAACTATAAATTATTAATATCATAAATAATATGTTCATTGAAATACTCAAAACATGTACTGTTAGTTAGCTAGAGAAAATATTTAATGACAGATGAATTTTTAGCATTGTTTGGAGTTGCGTCCTTTTTTCCAGTTAGTCAGCATCTAGATGCCCTATCATTTTAATATTACTTAAAGAAGGTAATCACATTGAACAAGCACTAAAAATATACTTAATAGAAATATAAAAGATCATTAATTTGGGGGCTGAAGAGATCTGGATTCTAGTCCCAACTTTGCCACTTGAAAATGGGAGCTTCAGCTTCAGCAAATCATTTGCCAGATTTTGAAGACTATAAGACACACTTTTCCCCAAATTTGGGTGGAAAATGGGGGTGCATCTTATAGTTAATGTAGCTTGCCTGGCTCCCTGGGTGGGTGGGTGGGTGACAGCCTATGTTATTTGTGTTATTAAATACTTTACCACATTTTTTGCTTCAAAATTTTTTTCCTCCTCTAAAACCTAGGTGTGTCTTATGGTCTGGTGCATCTTACAGTCCGAAAATTTGGTAAGCTTGCTAGGTCTCAGGATTATCAAATGTAAACAACAATGATCAAGGAACATGATTCCTGAGTTCTTCCTGTTTCTAAGATTTTAAGCAATTAATAGTGTCCCTTAGTTTATAACTAATGCTCCTTTCCGTTATGGGGAACAACTGATATTTAAATATATTTAACTATACTTTAAATTATTAAAAAATGTATACCTTTTCTTCCTCCAAAGCATACATCTTCATCTGAAACTATAAACAATTTTAAAAATTAAAATACAGGTAAGTAAACTGTTAACAGTGATTTACACTGGTCAGTGAGACTACAGATATATTTTATATGCCTATTTTACAGATATACTTTATATTTGAACTTAACATAATATGAATATGCCTTTACATTGAGAAAATAAAATAATAAAAGATATGACACTGAAAAAAAGCCTGTCACCAAAGTAAGTAAACAATTTAATCACACTGATTAGGAGGCAACAATCATCCTTGAAAGTTTACTTTTGATCTCCGGAAGCTTTTTTCTTAAATATCTCAGTAATTTGCCATCTACTCATAAATAACAACATAATCTTTTCTAAGAACATACTTTTATGAAATCAATACCACTTGTATTTGCATTGACAATATTTTGTGAAAATTTTAAAAATGCATCTGCCAATTTAATAAATAATAACATTTTAAATCAGGAAAACTCAAGTGAACATGCCAAAGAAAAATTAAATATCCAAGCAATACAAGGATACTAGGCAAGGTTGTTAAGAAATAAAATTTTTCTTTGGAATTTTCCAAATTTCTCATTACATTTAAGAATTCTTTCTTTAAAAAAAAAAAAAAAGAAAGAAAGAAAAGACAGAAAAGAAATAAGAAGAGCCCAAGAGCACGATCTCTCCTGTTCTTCAGATACCTGGATATTCTTATCTTTGCTCAAAGTCCCTGTGGTAACCAAGACTTGCTCTCTCCTAGACAAGACTATGCTGTAAAGAGACTTCTGCTTCCTTACCCTTGATTAAAACTCCCATAACTTTGAAGAGGCCAATTTCAGACTAAAAGAAAGAAAGTTTATCATTTGCTTAGATAAATCTACACTACAGTGTGAACTACCAATAACCTTAACCCACTAGTGATTTATATTGTTTCTAAACACATATGCCCATATGGAGATGAAGACCAAAAAAAAAGGAATAAGCAAAGAACAGTGATGTTGGAAAGGCTGTAAGAAAAACACTTCCGCCCTGGCTGGTGTAGCTCAGTGGATTGAGTGCGGTTCGATTCCCAGTCAGGGCACATTCCTGGGTTGCAGGCCAGTTCCGGGCAAGGGGACTCATGGGAGGCAACCATACACTGATATTTCTCTCCCTCTCTCCTTCCCTTCCCCTCTAAAGATAAATAAAATCTTTTAAAAAATAAAGAAAAACACTTCCAAAGGATATTTTCCATAAGCACATTTCTTACACATATATTTTCTAACTAGGGACTGAAGAAAAATTTGAGGTTGTAAAGAAGAGCTAAAGAATTCAAAATAACAAAGGAGTTGCTATTCAATTCTTTAGAAATATTTTACTTTTCCTTTTTTTCTATTTTCCTACTAGTCTTTTTTAGTTGCTTATGGTATTTATGGAGGGCTTTGGTGCATGATAATCACATCCCCTGATCTGTTACCTGTCCCTGCTCCCATCTGGCTCGGGTAAAAAGTAATGCGGAAAGGTCCAAGGATACTCAAATAAAAAAGAGAAAGAGTATACACACCACTATCCCAACTTATTTAGGACAGATGACAACACATCTCCAACAAAAACAGTTTCCCCAATTTCCATAACTCATTCTACCACATTATACTTTTTATTATCAATTATGACTTAAAATAACTTTATTCATTTCCTGCTTTTCAGTAATACCTTTTTTCTTTATTGAATATGGAGAATGATTTACGGTATTCATGCGGGGGGAGTGCAATATTTAAAACCGTAGTGCTTGGCTACCCTTATGAAATTACCTGCTTTTTAAAAACTGCCATTGCTTCTTTGTGCTGCTTTGTTAACATTTCCTTTTGATTCTGAAGAGTTTCCTATTTTAAAAAATGATGAAAAATTAAAATAAATTCTAGCAACTCTTTCCATTCTAAATTGTAATGGGACTCACTACTTAAATAAAAGTTAAACATTTGTTGTATATATAACTTCATGTTCTTGAAATACAACTTTAAACCAATTTATGATTTTGTAACTGTCATGGCATCAGCATACAGTAATTGTGTCTCCACTTGGCTCTTCATGATAAAATGCATTACTGTTTAAATTTTAAACTCTAAATACGGCTTGCTCCAAAGCTTTTTGCAAGAAAATATCTTTCATCAATAATGTTACTAAAGTTAACACTGCTCATATACAAGCAGACTATATAGCCTTAGAGTTTCCAAAGAAACCAACTTTATTATCTAAGCACAAATGTTCACATAGCAACATATAATTCTTTAAACTCACAGAAATAAGTTCTCAGGCACACAATGACCAGAGGGGAGAGGGGGAGGGAATTTCAGGGGAAAAGGGGAAGGGTTTACAGGAACTAGTATAAAGGACACATGGAAAACAACTAAGGGGGGTAGAAATGGGAGGGAGGTGGGGAGCACTGGGGGGGTAGGATGGGAGTAAAAGACAGAAAACTGTACTTGAACAACAATCAAATAAAAATAATAATAATAATTTTTTAAAAAGAAATAAGTTCTTAGAAAAAACAAAATTACCACAGGGCATTTTAAATTTTTTTACTTTCAATTATAGTTTGCATTCAATGTTTTTTTTTATTAGTTTCAGGTATACAGCATAGTGGTTAGACAATCATATATGAGATCTATCCAGAAAGTATCCAGCCAAGAAACATGGAAAATAGAGACATTTATTGAAGAAGATACAAGAAACATTGTACAAAGGATAATGACGCCTCAGTCCCCTTCAAAGTAGGCACCTTGGGACCTCACACAGTTCTCCCAACCACCAGCAGCTGCCCTGTCATATTTTCCTGAATCTCATTGCCAATCTGAAATCTCTTTCCTTTCAAAGGTGATTTTAGTTTTGGAAGTCACAGGGTGCCAAATTTGGGCTGTAGTGGGGCTGAGTCACCTGGGTGATTTGCTGTTTCACCAGAAAGCTCTGCACGAGACGTGATGTATGAATGCGATGTGATGCATGAGTGAGACATGAGCAGGCACACTGTCCTGATGAAGCTGCCAATCACCAGCTGCCCACAGCTGTGGCCTTCTGAATCATCTGAATAGTTTCTGCAGAGGAATGTTTTAAGCTTCACACAAAATCTGCAGATTTGTTGTTCTACTAGCTCAATAATTTCGAATGTGACTAAATGTAGCACAGTTCTGAGGTTTCACTTAAATATTTTGACTCCTCTATAACACGATATATTTCTCCAATATGAAACAGTTCATGGATTTCAGCATTGTACTCAATGTTACTCTTAGATATTTTCTTATCAGAAAGCCTGAATAAAAATTATTCTAAATTTTCAGGAAGCCCAAATGTTAATAGTTTCAGTTGGAACTTTCTTGAGACTTTGTTTAAAATGATACACATGTTTTAGAAATTTAAAAATTAACTTTGCAATTAAATAATAGAATATATTTCTAAATAGTTGCTAAAAATGCTAATCTGAGAAAAAATACTCACATTATGCCATTTCAGTTCTTGTGTCTCCACAATAATTTTACCAATCTGCTCTTCATATTTAATTTCTGCATCCTAGGACAAAAAGAAGAAAGATGCTAGGAAAACTAGGACTTAAAGTTTTCCAGGTTTAACTCTTTTCTATAAAGATTTAAAAAAAAATCTTCCCACCATTACAACAAGAAAAAAGCTGGATAAATTGCAAATTAAACAGACAAACCCGTAAGAGAAAAGAAGTCTCAGATCAACCAAGTCACGCAAAATCTAGACTCAGGTGCCTGCTTGGAGAACAAATCACACCATTTGATTACCTAGAACTTGGCCAATTTATGATTTTTTAAGCCACTGAGTACTGATAAGAAACCTCAGCTAAAAGAACTTAATAATTGCTAAGGGCAGAATATGGGCTAGTGTAAGAACGTGAATCCCCTGAGGGCCCCAGAAATAAGGAGATTTATACCTTTCATCAGGATTTTTTTCCCCAGGAAACCCACCAGGTACTTATAAGCAAGGATGAGAAAATTCCTCAGCAAGCTTTCTCTGGTGGTACTGGCCATAGGAGGAGAAAAGCAATTATAAGCCATGTTCCCTATTCCTCCTATACCCCCAAAACCTTAATCTGCAAGGGAAAGGAGAACAAAAAAACTATAGCTAAGGACACTAATGGAAACCCTGTACAGCAAGGAAAGGGAACCAACGGCCGCCACTGAAAACTCTACACAGACAGACCTGTCTTCCTTATCTCCCCTATGAACAAAAGCCTAATCTACAGGGGGAAGGACAGTAAAAACTATTGTAATAGTAATAAAAACTATTACAGCAAGACAGAACCCATGGAAACCCATGGAACTAGGAGGAGAAAGCTAGGAAAATAAAAGAGCGCTAGGAGCGGCAGGAATACATGCTATGTCCACAATAAATACGAAGGAGGGATCAAAAGTCTTGTGAAGACCCCACCCTGACACTTCGGCTTCATAAGACCCAAAGTCGAGGGGAAAGGCTGAAAATGTAGAAAAACCCTCTGTTTTTATTTATAATAATGCATTACTCCAGAATTAGCCCAAGTGATCAACACAAGATATCACTAGAGAGATCTAAAGCTTCTGCTGAAAACTACAACAGTCATACTTGCAAACTGAAGGCACGCCCCAACACACATACAGAGAAGCCTTCTGTGAAGACAGGGAGGTCTTTTTTTCTGTAGCTTCTATGTATTTAGAGAAATCTCTTTCAAACAAAGCACTAGCTGATAACGAAGCTAAGAACATAGTAACTTCAGTGGCTACATATGACAAAAAACTTCAGACTTTACAAAATTATTTCAGAAAAGTCAAAAAACAAGCAATGACAATAACCAGCAACCTTGACGAGGGGTAGGAACCTGATTTCCAGGGTTACCACATATTCAAAATGTCTAATTTTAAACAAAATATTGCAAAGCACGCAAAGAAACAGGAAAGTGTGATCCACACACAGAGAAAACAATTAATAGGAAATGTCCCTGAGCAAGGGCAGACCATGGATTTACTAGGCACACTTTAAATCAACAATTTTAAATATGCTCAAAGAGCTAAAAGAAACAATGTACAAATATACTGCAGCCATAAAAAAAGTTCATAAGGAATACGATAAACAAGTGTATGCTCATAAATTTGACAACTTACAGAAACAACCAATTCTTCAAAAACTACCAAACCTCCACCAAGATGATAGAGACCTATAATCATTAACTTAAAAGCTCCTAAAAAATAAATTTCCAGGCCAGACAGTTTCACTGAACAATTCTACTGAAGAACAATTCTACCAATTTAATTTCAAGTTAAATTAACACTACTTTGACACAGCCTCTTCCAGAAAAACACAAGAGAAAGGAACACATTGCAACTCAGTTTTTGAGGCCTGTTTACTGTGACACCAAAATCAGACAAAGACAGTACAAGAAAAGAAAACTAAAACCAATATCTCTGACAAGTTTTGACCAAAAAATTCTCAATACCATATTAGAAAATGGAATTCACCAATGTATAAAAAATTATACACCATGACCAAGTAGAATTTATTCCAGGTATGCAAGACTGGATCAACAGTTGATCAAATTTAGCATGTCAATGTGCTAAAAAAATAATCATATATCAACTGACACAGAAAATGCATTTAACAAAAACCCAAGACTCATTCATGATAAAAACTCTCAGCCGAGTAGGAAAAGAGGGAATTACCCAAATTTGATAAAGAGCATTTATTTATAAAAATACAACAGTTAACACATTTAATGATGCAAGATTAAATGCTTCTCCTTGAAGCTCAAGAACAAAATTGGAATATCTACTCTCACTGCCCTTATTCAACATACTACTAGAAGTTCCAACTACTGCAATAAGGCAGAAATGGATATATAATAGACAGACAGGAAGTGTGAGAGCAAGAGAAAGAGGGGAGGGAGAAGTAGAGAAAGAGAAAGAAAAAAACAAATCCGACGTAAGAAATAAGCTGTCTCTATTTGTAGATGATGTGATTGTACATATAGAAGATCCCTAGGAATCTATTTTTTTAAATCTCCCATAACTAATAAAATTGCTCAACAATGCCATGGGACAACATGAACACCCCCCAAAAATCAATCATATTTTTATACACTAATAATAAAATGTAGTAACTGAAATTAAAAATACAACACAACTTACAATCACTCCTGAGAAAACAAAATAGAGATGTATGCTTAAACATATGTACAAGATCTGTATGCTGATATACTCAAGATGGATGAATTAAAACATTCTGATGAGTGAAAGAAGCCTTACCTAAAAGAGTACATACTGTATGATTCCATTTATATGAAATGTTAGAAAAAACAAAACCTACTCGGTATGGAAAAAAGTCAAAAGAGTGGTTGCCTCAAAGTGGCATGAAGGAACTTTCTTGGTTGATGGAAACATTGTATATCTTGATAAGGTTTATATTATACAAGTGTACACATCTGTGAAAACTCATTAAATGTACAATTAAGATTTATGCCTTTTATTATATTCAAATTTTACTATGAAGAAAAAATCTGTACACAAATATTGAACTTGGCTTAATGACATGGATTCTGAAGTATTTAGGAGGAAATGCACTGATGTCTGCAATTTACTATGAAATCATCAAAAATGAAAGGGAAGAAAGAATAAATATATGAGAAGCTATGTGATAATGAAGATATAGCAGAATGTTAATGGTGTATGAGTGCTCACTGTAAAACTCTTCCAGTTCTGCTGCATGTTTCACAATTTTCATAACAAAATGTTTTGGAAGATATCAGAGAGGATACTGGCAGACAAAAATATGTTTTGTTATGAAATATTTTCCTTATGAATCTCTTACATGTTCCTTGCCTGATTAAACACACATATACACAAACTTATGCTATGCTATTCCACAATAAACCCTCATGAAAACTGTCTCATTTAAAATACTTTCAGCAGCAAGTAGCAACAAGAACAAAACCCAACTCACAATGGCTACTGGGATTTATCTCACATGACTTGTCTAAAGGTAGAGCACTTGCTTCTAAATTAATTTTCAGTGACTCAACAATGTCATCAAGGGCTATGAGTCTTCCCATCTTTACATTTTGCAATTATCCAAGTGACTTTCCTTAGGATTTTCACCCATTGGCTACTCTAACTGCAGGCATTAAGGACAGAAAGGACATTACCTCATTGGCCATAACACACCGACCCCTAAACCAATCATTGGCAGGACAATGACTAGACCTTCATGAGTGGTTAACACCTGTCAGGATTTACCTGACTCACTTTGGTGAGGGGTGGACCCTAAGACACAATCAGGACTCTTCCAACATGGAATAGGAAGGGAATGTATGCCAACAGTAATAAATATCTATAGTTAAAACATATTGAAAATGAAAATAAGTATATACACATTTAAGGGTAGGTACATACAGGGTGGGACAAAAGTAGGTTTTACGGTTGTTCATATGGAAAATACAATAATAAATAATAGAAATAAAGATGTTTCTCTGTGTCAGTCTCTCTCTCTTTCCCTCCCTCCCCCGCTTCTCTCTCCCTCCCTCTCTCTTTTGAGTCAGTGAAAGTATCCTTGGGTGAGGATTTAAGAAAAAGGACTGTAGATTCTATAGGACTGTATGAATTATGATATATACTCCTTTGCTTCAAAACTTCAGAATTTTACCTTCCCATCCCACCAAAGTTAGAAAACCACCCAAAATCATACTACCTATTTTAAATACACAAATATTCTGAGTATTTGGTAGAACATTTCAAAAAATATAAAATATTTGTTAGGATAGGAAAATATAATTTTAAGAATTGCTATGAATGTTCTAATATTGATATTTCAGAAATCACTGTAATAGATTAAGTTGACTAATATGAAAACAGTATTTAAAATACTAATTATAAAAAAGATGTTTTAAAGTATGAACTTCTAGGCTATTCCATGCATATTAGAAATATTTATCTACAATACTTTATAGCTAATCAAACCAAAAAGCTATCTGAAATAGTGGTATTTTATTATACAACATGAGAAACTGAATTGGGTAATTTCATAGGAGGTGCATATGAGTCTGAAAGAGAATGAAGTACCCAGTTACAGTTTTGGCTGCTTAGACATGTGCCTGCTGTGTGAACTGCATCCCTAAATCTATTCAGGGTCAAGAATTGAAGAGGCCTGACCAATACAAAGCCCATCTTGTAAAACTACAGCCTGAAGCAAGCACTTTAAAAAAAGCATGACACTTTCTAAAGGTTATAAAGAGTAAATAAACCATCAAATTACTCCTCTTTTATTGTTTTTGTAAAACACTTAAATCCTTGTAGTCCTAAGGCAGCTAATAAAAAATAAACACTTTTAAGGTTTGATATTCTTGGATACTTTATTGAACTTACAGATGGGCTTCTCTTACCAAATTTAATATATTTTAACATTGACAATTTAATAAGAAGTATTAATAACTTTTGAAAGCTGCTTGAGGAATGCATGAAACATTAAAATGAAAAGTTCCCTCAAGAAGTAAATAATTTTTAATAGAAAGCATGAAGTTAAATTAA